GGTTCAAACCGACCTTGTGGTCCAGTGCTTTATCCCACAGCACCATACCAGGATGACCTGCTGGAGCCTAGGAAACCCTATGGGGCAGCTCTCCTCTAGCCTATAGGGTTGCCATGAGTTGGAATCGAATCGATGGCATATAACAATAAATCAGTCTAACTATAGTGAGGCCATCTCATACTTTTGTGTGGATAGCCATGTTTATGAGAGGTGCGTTTCAGAGAGGCAGTAAGGCCTGGAGCTTGTCTTTGAGGGGATCAGAGAGATGGCGGGATTCAGTGTGCCAACCATGCCACTTCCAGCTACCATGGGGTCCCTGTGGCCAGCCCTGGAGCCACATTCCTAGGAATTCTGGCCTAAATGGTACGGACCCAGACTCTCTCTTGCTGGTGAGCTCTTGTTTATAGGCCTTTCCTGTACTATCTGCCAATATCTTTCTGGGTGTCACAAGATTAGCTCAGATTTCAGAGAGCAGCTCACAGACAGGCTCAGATCCTCTAGGGCCCCTAGGACTCCTGCCTCTCGATGAGATGAAGTACTTTTCTTAGAGAATGGAACATCATAGCTGAGCCTGTGACCATTCTCAGACATTAGGGTCCTAGTCTTTAGACAAGGCCTTGGTGCTGGTGGGGTTCTCCAATCTGTCTTAACCTTGTCATGCTTTCAAATATGGGCAGCTGTTCCCAAGGAGAGTCAGAGTGATGATCCCCTCACCTGCCTTCTCTGACCCCTAGAGCCCATCTCACACTGTTAGGATTCTCAAGGAATGACTTATCCCTGAACTGAGGCAGTGTGTGGATGCCTGGGAAGGATGAGAGAAGGCATGGGCACTGTGTCCCAGGGGGAAGGTCGGTTCCCAAGGAGCTTGGGAAGCAGCGTTCTCTGAGGGTTAACAGCTGAGGCCATGTGGGTGTCAGACTGCCCTAGCTCTGACTCTTGCTGGCTGTGGGATCTTGGACAAGTGACGAACTTTTGGAGCCTCAGTTTCCTTGTTTGCAAAATGAGTATAGTAAGAGTACCCACAGAACTGGATTGTTGTGAAGCTTAATTTACACGAGAATACTACATGGAAATGACTTGGCGTTCTGCCTGACATGTGGCTAGTGCTCAGTCATGTTAGCTGTAGTGATGACAACGATGTTAACAATAATGACAGCAGTGGGGTCTGTGGCTCAGGAACTTAATTTATTGACCCCACGGTGAGGGGCAGACTCTGAGGTCATGCAGCCATCACAGAACATCCCCTGAAGTGGAAGGGGCATAGGGGACCATGCTCACCACAGTATCAGCTCTGCCCCAGGTTGCCTTTCACTGGGACAGCAGTTGCTGGAAGAGATATTGCAGATGGCAGCAAATCCCTTACCTTGGTTGTCATAGGAAGTAATGACTTGGGTCTGCTGAGGGTGCTGCTTCTCTGCCAGGTGTCCTATTTAAGGAAGACAGAGAGGCCTGCAGTAACCACTGGGAACACAGTGGAATTTTCCTAGAGCAGAAGAGGGAACTGTGTGCATCCGCACGAGAGGCAGACTGAGCAACATCTAGCAGCCTGGCCTCAACATGCACCCAACACGTGTACATCTCCAGTCATACATCTCTATAGTGCACACTGCCAGACCTCTCAGCAGAAGCCACCACAGGCTGAGTTTCTCCCAGAGCAGGCTGGGATGCCTGGGAGCTCCCTGACTTTAGTCAGTTTCCAAAGTACTTTTCCATAAACTCTTTCTGTGAAGCATGCTGGGAGGTTCCTGTTTTAGCCTGCTTTAACAGAAGAAGAACTTATAGCTTAGACTGTTCAATTTTTCTTTTTTTGTTGTTGTCAAAAGCCCCCAAATGAGGGAGGGTCTGACCTGGGCAGCCTATCTCCATTCCAGCCTAGGAGCTGGGGCAACCTGCAGTTTGGTTCCGTTTCCCAAACACAGAGTGCCCCTATGTACAGGTTTTTTCCACACACTGGATGTTTGTGATCCCAGGGGTCAGCCTGTTGTAGAGAGCTATCTGGTGCTGCCATGGGCCGTAAGGGGGAGCCCACAGACTTACCTGCCCCTTCTATGAGAAGCATAACCTTTCCTACTTCTGTCTGTTACAGCTGCTGCCATGACCCTGCCTTATTGAGACTGCCTTTGAAACTCAACTTTAGAGGGGCAGGGGAGGGACTGGGAAGGGCCAGAAATACAGCAGCAGGAGGTTCCCCACACTAGCACTCTGGCCTGACATCTTCTCTGTGGCCTCTGGCTGTCTCCTGGAGGGCTGGACCTCAGGGTCCAGCGTGAGCAGGTTTCTAGTCAGGCAACTCCCCTTGTACACTCAACTGACCAGCTCAGCCACTCAATGCTTCCAATGCCTGGGCCTAAACATAAGCCAATTAGGGTGGGAAGTGAGGCACTGAGCTAGGCTGGACTTAGGACCCCCCTGGCAGGTTCTCACTCCCTGGTGGAGCCCGCTGCAACTATCCTCAATACGCAGGCCCAGCCAGGTCTCTGAGCCCCCTAGGCTGTGGTCAGTCGGTCAAGGGCCAGGTCTACTGTGTGAGCCAATCCAGGGTGACTTGGGTATGCTGGGCCAGAGCCCCAAACCAGACGCAGGCGAGGACAGGGAGGTGGCCTCCTGTGGGCACAGCTGGCTGTATCTTCACTCAGAAACAGGATCTGGGAAGGGAATCCTCAAAGAGGGTGATTGGCTGGCACAGCGGCTGGCGGGTATTTATAGTCAGGCCTGCACAAGTGGTTTCTCTATAGCTGTGTGACAGCAGTCCCTTGCTGCTAGGCAGAGTTCGGTCAGGACCAAGGAAAGCAGCCAATCACGATGGGGAAGCCCGTTGCTGGGCAAGCTAAGGGGGTGGGAAGAGTGGTGGGGGGGGTACAAACACCTGCTGCTGAGAAAAGTTTGGACTGTTCCAGGCTCCCCGGCCCGGCCTGCCCCTGTTAACAATCCAGCCCAAGGAGTGCGCAGGGCAGCAAGAGGGGAAAATGTGCTTTTGGGGATCAACCTCATGCCCGGCTGCATTTGAGCACATTGCACCCTTTTCAGATGAAGTCATCAGAGACCAGGGCTAGAAGGTTTGCTGATAATCAGAGCTGGGTGCCTTAGGCACTATCAAGGCAGGTAGGAGAATAGATCCGCTGCACCCAGAATCTTGGTATCAGAAAACACTGAAAGAAGTCATATTAATTTCTGTATACATGCAAATGTGCCATTTGAAAAATACATGGATGTTTACTTTAAATTGCGTATATGGGTGGAGTCGGGAGCTATCATCTTTTCCCAGACTTGGGGCCTCTCCAGAGCCTCTCTCCAGCCCTGCAATTACTCCAAACCCTCAGTTTTCAGTGTGGTTTTGTAAGAGCAACATTGATCATCTTTTTTTTAAATCAGTGGACACATATTGTACTAAGTCCCACTTCACATCTATTAGACAAGTTTTTGTCATCATTATTGTGTGACTTTGTGTTTTGCTGTATTTTTCTCTCTCTAATCTTTCCTTAAACCCAGGAACTCTGAAGATAGCAAAAATAGTACAAATTCAATAAATTTCAGTGTCTCCTGATGTAATAACAAGCCTAAGAAGCTGTGAGATTACCCCCCAGGCAACTCTGGCAAGATGTGGGTGCTGTTTTTCCACCTGTGGCTTGCTTACTAGCTTGCCCTCGCACACATTGGCCTGGCCCAGGTGGCCTTCAAGGGCTGCTATGAATATCTGCAGTTGTCAGGTTTCTAGAAGTCTACTTCTTCCTATAATTCTCAGCTGCCCATGGCACAGTTTCTTTAATTTTGGTATTTGCTTCAGTAAAACCAAAGCTGGCAAGTCACTCACTCAGTGTACCCTGATTAGCAAAGATTACGAGGCATTACATCCATGCAGGTCCATCAGCCCCGCCACAGAGGATGGCTCCTCAGTAGGGGGTATATGTTGAGGATGACACCGACCCATTCTCAGGACAGCGGGTGGGGTTGGGGGCAGACACAGGTAAGCTATTCCTCTCCAGGGCACAGAGACTCTACTGCAGTCAATAATAATTACACTGACACGCACTTTAAAACTCTAACTTTGCTGCACAAAGGCAAGGGCTCTTGACTGTCTTATGCACCATTTCATCATCAACAATTAGAACCATGCCTGGGCAAAGTAAGCACTAGAGATATTTATGGAGGGAATGAATGAGTTGACTTTGACAATGTCATCCTTCCTTTCATTACCATCAGAAGGAATGTAGAACATAGCTGCTTGGTCTTGTTTAATCACTGAACAGAATGGTCAAACTGAAGTTTCCTCCTTTGTAGGAGTTATAGGAATGGTTCCTTCAGCCTGGCATTTAATGAACCAATCAGTGGGTCTGGGGTCTGACGGAGTTCTCTGCTGGTGCTCTGTGATTAGAATTCTCACATTCCCATAGTGTAGCCTCACTGTTTGTCCCTGCAGGCTGGGCTGATGAATCTCTGAGGGACACAGAATAAGGCCATTCTAGCTGGCCTGTCCACAGCAGTCCCTGAGTGGTCCTGGACCTGCCGGGTGATAGATGTCTGGCATCAGAATGAGGAGTCTCTGGGAGCTGACTTCACTTAGACTTAACTATATTCAGGACTCCACATCAGTAGGGATCCACAGATTGGCTCCCTGGACTACTATCCTCTTTGTTTTGAATAAAGTTTCCAAAGATGGATATTCTGCATGGCATGAACATCCCCAGCTACCACAGAGACATGTTCAAACCTACCATCCCAAAGGATGGCAAGCCTTTCCCTCTCGCTCAGACTGGCCAGCACACAGCGGTGTGCTCAAGCTCATGCCTTCAGCCCCAACACACAGCCTCTAGGAGTGTGGGGGCCTGATGACAGGGAAAAGTTTCTAGGGTCATAGTGGCTCTGGAGGCCTGGCTGAGTCATAAGCAGTCATTGTCTGAGTGATTAGATGCCTAGAGGACAATCGTCAAATGATAAAACGAATTCAGTCATTTCTCAATATGTTGAATTTCAGATGTTGACAATAAAATGAAATAATTTACCAGGAAGGTCATTTGCTTCTATTTTCTGCCACTTCCGGATTCCGTTTCCAACACCTTGGAATCCTGTGAAATAACAAGGAATGGCATGAGAAGCGTGTTCTGTGGTGGAGAAACCCAGGCAAAGCCAATGATGTGCCAGTTGCCGACTTATCTGGGTTAAAGTAGAGCTGGTGGAACTTGGTTCTCTCAGGATCCAAGAGAGGCTGCCTGATGAATAAGATGCAACTTGGGGAATGAATGCAACTCTCAAAATTTTAAACATTTTTATGATGCTAAAACAGTAGTTTTCAAGGGTAATGGGTTAGTTATCAGGATTACCCAGGGATAATTTTCTCAATACAGATGTGCATTTTCTATTCCCACATCTCTACTGCATAAATATGGAAACATTATTTTAGGAGACATTTGCCATTCATGTTGTCTAGCTATTTCTGGATGTGATGAATGTCCCCATGTTTAGAATTCTGATGGAGAGGGAGGTACAGCCTGCCTATCCCAATGGGAACTGAAACTGATAGCTCTCTGCTTCCCTGCACCATTGCAGCTGCAGCATGGGCATGTGTGGCCTGAAAGCACTGGTACCTGTCTCGGCCTTGGGACCCAGTGATGCAATGGGGAGAGGAAAGGGAGCTCTCTCTCTGGCGGCGGGTGGAAGTGATGGCTGCAAAGCCAAGTTCCTGGCACGAAACTGGCATACATTCTGGCAGTGGTACCAACTGCAATAAACTCAAGTTCCTGGCGAGGAAGGAGCATCTAGTGCTTCTTGGTGGGAGCGAAGGTTTTCTCACCCGATCAGCTCTGCAGTTGAAACCAATGTTAGTGGAAGCTCAGCCTCCAGCCTGGTTCTCCAGCCCTTTCAACCACTCAGAGGCCCCCAACCCCTTCTTTTCTGCAGAGTCCTCCACAGCCAGTGGCTACCAACAAGAATCCTCACTGACACAGTTATGTAGTGAATACACAATTTAGGGAAGTAGGGGCATACAAGGAAGTCCTAGTGTGGTGCTGTTGGATAAGCTCTGGACTGCTAACCACAAGGCCAGCAGTTCAAACCCACCAGTCATGCCTTAGAAACTCTATACAGGGTCACCTTGATGGCTCTTAACAACAACAACAACAACAACAGGGTCATGTGATCTAAGACTCCAAAACTTTCAGATGCCTTGCAAGCAGCTTTAGGCTACCTCCTCCACTGTCAGATGAATACATCAATTCTCCTTTCTGCTAGGGATGAGGGCTTCCAGACACATTTTTGAGAAACCCTGGTTTCTAAGGAATCCTGGTATGGTGCTGCAGGATAAGCACTGGACTACTAACTGCAAGGCTGGTGATTCAAACCCAACAGCCCCTCCTTGGAAAACCTCTATAGGGCCTCTATGAGTGAGAACTGACTTGAGGGCATTCACAATAACAACAACAACACTCTAAGGAAAGAGTCCCTGGGTGGTGCAGACAGTGTGCTTGACTCCTAATAGAAAGCTTGGAGGATTGAGTTCTTCCAGAGGCCCCTCAGGAGGGAGTCTTGGCGATCTATTTCCCCCCAAATCACCCACTGAGAATACTATGGAGCACAGTTCTACTCTGACACACACGGGGTTATCGTGAATCAGAGTCAATCTGACAGCACCAGTTGGCTCTAATGAAATAGCGTGGAAAATGCTAGGGGCCTAGAGAAAAGGGGAGAGAGAGAGAGTCCCAGGGCCTTGCACTACAAATTCCTGGGGACCCAGTCTACCCACACCAGCACTTTCTTTTCTAACTACAAGGCCACAGAAAAAGTGTCACTTGTTTCCTTCCCTACTCAGGTTTATGCCATGTGGCATCCTTCTTTTCTAACATGGAGCTCAGGCCCTCTCTTTTACACAGCTGAGGAAGATCTACTTCCCGGTTGAGGACCTGGAGTGAATGGGAGGTAGGAGCTGTCTAGAAGCAGGAGTGGATTTGCTTTGGATCTTGTGCACCTACTGGAGGCCCTATAATAAATTGGCCTTGTTCAGTGTTTTCTCTCCCTCAGGCTGTGTCCTGAGGAGCGGGCCTGCAAGCTAGCTTAATTGGGGATCCCTTGGACACCATCATTACCTCCAGTAGACCTGGAGGTGTGCACTGTGCCTCTCCTCTGCTCTGGTACAGCACTGCCTGTGAATATGTGAGTCTGGGAGAAACTTCCATCAGGCAAATATTTGGAGAAAAATATCAGCAGAAAAGAGCAGCAAGCAGGGGTCTATATTCTCTGAGTCATGAGTGTGAAGTACATTGTCTAGGGCCATGGGGTCTATGTACTGGGCAGAAGGCAGGCCTAGCACCTGGTGTTTCCTGGACTTCTCTGCATTCTTCACCCACTCTTTCTAGTGTCAGAGCCCTTAAGATGTATTCAGAGGGGACATGGGATGTGGTGACTCTCAAGCTGACTGAGAACGGGGTCTTGCTGCACACTGGAGTGCCCTCTACATTAAGGTGTGTGTAGTAGTAACTTTTGTGAATTCCTTAATTACAAATATCCTGGGAGGGCTAGTTTTCCTTCTCCCAGGAGCAGATCTGGGAAATAAAGAACTAACTAACCAAAACAACTCCTGGCCCCCAAATCCCTCCCCAAACTCGAGCACCTGTCAACATTCTCAGCCCTTCAGAATTTATTTCCTTCCCCTGCCTCCCTCTCCAAAAGGTGCCTGTGTGAAAGGGGCATCCACGGCACTGTGGCTTTTTGGGACAAGTATGCACATGGGCTCTGAGGACAGAAGAGTTGGGGGTAGTGTGGTAGCAGGAACTCTAAGAAGCACCAATGCTGAGGGGAAGCAGGAGGCAGAAGTCATTTTCCCCAATGGTCTGTCAAGCATTGTTCCTCCAAAACTGGCGCTCAGTCAGCCTAGTGCACGCTCATACCAACCTCTTCCACGAGGGCTCCCAAGGCTTCATCATAGACCCAAGACTCCAAAACTTCTGAGGGGCTTATTGAAACCTCCATTACTATCCATCTAAAATCTGTTCATATTGGGTTGGATCCCCTGGGTCCTACTTTCTACAGTCTCACTGCTGCTGTTTTGTGCTGGCGAGTCAATTCTAGCTCATGGCGACCTTATGTGTCAGAGTAGAATCGCTCCATTGACTTTGCTGGCAATAATCTTTGTGGAATCAAGTTGTCAAGCCTTTTCTTTTTTAAACGTGGTATTGTGCTTTAGGTGAAATTTACATAGCAACTAGTTTCTCTAGATTGTTCAGTGACATTGGTTGCAATCATTGCAATGTGCCAGCATTCTCACCATTTCCTCCCTGGGTTCCTGTTTCCGTATGTACAGTTTCTCTGTCCCTCCCTGTATTCTCATCTTTGGTTTCTGGCAAATGTTGCCCTGTTTTACCAAGCCTTTTCTTCTGTGGTCTCCTGGGGGTCAGGGGGTGGTGGAGGGGATTTGAACAACTAACTTTTCAGTTGCCATTGTAGTTCTGTTGTTAAGTGCCATCGATTTGGTTCTGACTCATAGCGAACCTGTATAAGGTTTCCAAGAAGCGGCTGGTGAGTTTGAATAGCCAACCTTGCATTTAACAGACTAATGCGTATCTTATAGTGCCTACCAGGACTCCTCTACACCTCCCCCATACCAAGTCCCTTACCATTAAGTATATTTTAGTGACCCTATCCAAACCAAACCTACCGCCACTAAGTCAATTCTGACTTATAGAGACCCTTATTGTGAAGCACCAGTGAGTCGATTCCGACCCATAGTGACCCTGTATAGGGTTTCCACGGAGCAGCTGGTGAGCTTGAACCACCGACCTTGCAGTTCAAACGGCTTTGCAGTTTGGCGCATTAAGTCACAGCGCCACACCAGGACTCCATAGAGACCCTATATAGGGTCTTTTTCTGGTAGACAGGATGGTGGGTTTGAACTGCAGGCTTTGTAGTTGACAGACTGATGCCTGACCCACAGTGCCACCAGGGTTCCTTTGTTGTTACGTGCCATTTAGTCAGTTCTGATTCATAGCTAACCTATATAGGGTTACTAAGGAGCGGCTGGTGGATTTGAACCAATGACCTTGAGGTTAACAGGCCAGTGCTCATCCTACAGAATCATACCAGGACTCCCACCACTAGTATTCCTTTAGGACAGAATAAAACTGCCCCATAGGGTTTCCAAGGCTGTAATCTTGATGGGATCAGATCACCATGCTTTTTCTCCCACAGAGTCTCTGGTGAGTTCCAATCGCTAACCTTAACCACAAGTACTTAATCACAGAACCACTAGGCCTTCTTCACATCGCTTTACATTCATTTTACTAGTCTGCCTTCCCAGTTGAGCTGAACTGCAAAATCGGCTTGAACCACAAGGTTGGCAGTTCAAGCTCACCAGCTACTCTTTGGAAACCCTATACAGGGTCATCATGGGTCGGAATCGACTTGATGGCACTTGACAACAACAACAGCAACAACAACCTTCCCAATTAGTAAGTCTGCTGTTGTTGTTGTTGTTGTTAACTACCATCGAATTGGTCCCGACTCATAGTGACCCTGTTTAGGGTTTCTGAGGAGCGGCTGATGGGTTTGAACTGTTGACCTTGCGGTTCAACCTGACCTTGCAGTCCAGAGCATTATCCTGCAGCTCCACTGTAGGACTCATAAAACTAATGAATAAACTGAAATGGGAAGAACAGATTTGAATTGAAACGGATTTCAAATCTCACCCAACTCAAGCCTTTTACACTTTATGCCTTCTATCTGTGGCGCTGTAGGATAAGCACTGGACTGCTACCACAAGTTGGCAGTTCAAGCCCACCAGTCGCTCCTCGGAAACCCTAACAGGATGGCTATGAGTCGGAACCTACTCCAGGGCACTTAACAACAATATATCCAAGGCTGGAGGAGAGGCTCAAGAATGGGGAAACTGAGGCCATTGTATGCGGTCACAAGGGAGCTCAAAGTCTTCTACAACAGCACCCGACCCCACACAAAATTTCCAGGCTCCCAGTGCCTTCAGTGTGCCCTGTGAGGGCGGCAATTCTGACCGCTGCACCCTTCCTCGAGGGCATCTTCACACCATGATCGGCAACTTTTTGGGAGTGACTGAAAGAAAACAGGCTGGGGTGGGGAGTGAAGGTGGGAATTAAAGCACCCTCCCGCCTGAGTGGGAAGACAATTTGGGACAATCATCAGACTGAGGGTTGCCACTGGACTGAGGCAGCAGCTCGGAGAGGGTCGGTCTTGCTGACCTCGCTCCAGAGTGCTTGAAGCGCCCCTCAGCGGGCAAGCCCTGGGGCAAGGAGGCCAAGGAGCCTGGGTGCCCGCGCTCGGCGTGCGTTACCTCCTCGGCGTTGCAGCGGCGCGCCGGGGTCCCCCTGCCCGTCCGAGTGAGTGCCCTGTGTGGCGCGCCGCTTCTCCGAGTGCACGATCAGCAGCATGTCGATGGTCACGGCGTTGCTGTCCTTCTTCAGCTCCATGGTGCCGCCTCCTTCCCGGCTGGAGCGCCGCGGCCGCTTGCGAGGCTGCCTGCGCTGCAAATGGCCCCGTGCGCGCCGCTGCCAGGCGCGGGAGAGGACGAGGGCTAGGGCGCGGGAGAGGGCGCTCCCCCGCCGCCTGGCCGCTGGGCGCCTCGTTTCGCTGACTCTGCCAAACACGCCATTAGTGCTCTCGCGGGAGGGCGCTACCCTAATGAAGCGGCTATAAGTCACCTTTGAAAGGAAATCCCGGAGCCAAGCCCTGACCTGCACTGGAGGCCGCAGCCGACAGAGGCGGCTGGTTCCAGAGCCTCCCTCCCCGCGCTCCCTGCCTCCCGCCTTCGAGCTAGAAGCGCTAGCAGAGCTCTGCCGGATTCAAGGAGGGCCTGAAGCCCACCCCTTCAGGGAAACCACTAACAAATGTAAAAATGTCAGAGCTGTCAACAGTGACAGTCCTTTCAGGAAAAGGAAACACAGCAAGAGGAATCCAGACTAAATAGCAAGACGTGGGAAAGTTGGCCAAATTTTGGCTTCGACCCCACTCATTAACCGGGTGGGTCAGGGTGTTCGATCAGGACAGCCCCCCCACCTCCTCGCCCCTCCCCCAATTATGGCCTCTTCAGATCTTGGAACATGCCCACTGGACGTTAACCTAATACTCCTCTTTCCCCTGCAGTGAAAGTCTTAAACAAACACTTTTTTCCTTCTAGAACCTAGTTCCTGCCCTGGGGGTTGAGGGGTTTGAGGGTAGAGGAGGAAGCTCAGGACATCAGGAGCATGCCTGCCTGCTCTGCTGTCATAGAGCTGGACCTGAGAGACCGTTCTATTTTTACTCGGGCCTGGCCAGCAGTGGCAGTGTGTTTGGCTGCAGGTCTCAGGAATGTTTACACTGTCATCTGCCTCGTGGTCCTTGATGCCTAAGCCCACCAGACTGGGGGGCAGTCACCTAACTTGAGGCTTCACCCAAGTTAATAAATGACACCCACATAGAAGGTTTTGTTGTTAGGACTCCTCCCCTCATTGGTGTGTACTGACTCCCCACTTGCAGCATGGTCCCTGAGAGCTGCTACCTTACCTATGGAGGCAGCCTGTAATCATACAAGTCTAGGTTCCAATCCCTACTCTCCCATTTGCTGACTGACAGACCTTGGACAAGCCATTTCCCCTTCATTTTCTTGTTTGTTTCATGGAAATGATGACAAATCTCATAAATGTTGTGCAAGCTGTAAAGTGCCTGGTTCCTAGTGAGTGATCTGTGGTTCTTACCTCATTTGGAGTTGTGATGTGACAAGCAAGTCTGTAATGAGGGGGTCTCACAGCTACATCCTCAGACTTTGATAGTCTTCCCCTTCTGCATGGGTCTCACAGTTTGGTCTGCATGTAAAGGCACTGCATCTCCTCTCACCTAGCAGGTGTCTAAAGAAAGGGAAGGTCAGTTGCATCTTAGGCAGAACCCCTCAGGACCCAGGTGGACACACTTTACGACTTTCTAGAGGGTTGGGGAATTATGAACAATGGATTATGTGAAGTTCTTGGGGTCTCAGAGATTGCTTGAGCAGATCCCTGCTTGCAGGGTCCCCCACCTAACTTCTTCAGGAGCAGGTTGTTTGGGGCACAAACAAAAGCTCCTTTGCAACCACACCCTGGATGGGGCTGAGTGGGGAGGAGGAGGAAGCTAAAAGTTCCTCACCTGACATTTGTTTCCTTCCTACCCCATTCTCCACCCTCACTATCTTGGTGGGAAGTGTTGCTCAGGGACTTGGTCCACCCTCCTGAGCTGCCTTTTGGGGGAAAAAAGGGTGATCTGGGATGCGCAGTTGGGGAAAGAACCAGGGGAATGAACACTTGTGAATGTCAGCAGTCAGCTTGTGGTGCGGAATGGAAAAGAAGAGAATGTGCTAGCCAGAGACTCAGGAGAATGGTTGGGGGTTTCCTGTCTAACATGTCTGAAAGCAATTTCTTTGAAGCAGCATTCCTCTGCTTCAAAAGTTTGGGCCAGATGATTGTTTTGTGCTACAATGGTTAAGCACTCAACTCTTAACCTAAGGAGTCCTGGTGTGGCGCTGTGGGCTAATGTGCTGGACTGCAAAGTCAGTTTGAACTACAAGGTTGTTGGTTCAACCTCACCAACTGCTCCTTGGAAACCCTATACAGGGTCTGATGGGTTGGAACTGACTCCATGGCACTTAACAACAACAACATTAATTTAAAGCTTGGCAATTTGAACTCACCCAGCAGCTCCACAAGAATAAAAGACCAGGTCATCAGCTCGCATAGAGATTATAGCGTAAAAAACCCTGTGAGGCAATTCTACCATGCCACATGGAGTTGCTATGATCAAAATCTATGTACAGCACTCAACAACAGTAGCAAGAATAGTAATTGTTTGTTGTGGGAACTGTATCATACATTGTAGGATATTTAGCAGCATTTCTGGGATCCACTCACTAGATACCAGTAACATCCACTTCCCAGGCATAACACTTTTACCTCTCTTGAGACTCCAAAAAATAGGTTTCTCATGAGACATAGTAGGTTAACCAGTACCAGAAAGGAATTTAGCAGGGATTTGTAGACATTGTATGCTTTCCTTATTCTTGCAGTAGGGAATGAGGTGCACAGAGACTGCGGTAATTTGGGAAGAGCAATTGTCAGAGTCCCAGTCTCCAAACCCCACCAGCTTTTCGTGAGATGGGATACAAGACATAAAGGAATGTCCCAGAAACCTTTGTGACAGCTACTGTAGGCTTCTCAAAGACTCTTGACTAGCTTGACTTGGCACACTCCCACTTCTGGGTTTTTATTATTGCTCTTCCCTCTTTGTGGGAAACCTCTTTGGCCCTCCCTGCCAATTGCAGTCTAGCCATCCTGCAAGGCATGACACTGACGCTCACCCCCACACTATCCTTGGAGCTCCTGGGGGAATGCCAAGTCTCTTTTAAACCATTTCAATAGTTAACAGGATGTGGACAATCATCCCAGCTCTGGCTTCATACCCACCACATTTAGGAAATAAGTCAATCCACCAGCACCCGCCCTCCCCTCATGCAGTTCTGCCAGGCAGAATGCAGGTTTCCTAGCATAGTGACCTTGGGCAAGGTATGCAGCCTCTCTGCATCTCAGATTTCCTTATCTATCAAATGGGTGAGGATATTGTTGGGATTAACTGAGATAAAGTACTTAGTGATGGCTTAGCTATAGCTATAGCAGCTTCCTGTATTCCGGTCAGACTCCTGCTCTGGGGAGGGGCTCATGAATATGGTGAGGATGGGTAGAAGAGACTAGAACCAACCCTGAATCTCTGTGGAGCAGAGAGTTGACTCCCTCCCCTATGTCTCTGCTCTGTCATAATGCAGGAACCAGTGAATCATGGAATCCTTTTCTTGAAGAACTGACATCAGATTTGTGAAGCTTCAGCCTCTTCATAGGAGAGCACAGCTCTCCTCTCTCCCATCCTTCAGCCCGATGCTACTCATTATGAATGCTGTGTGCGCATTTCCCCACTCAACAGGATGTGCCTTCTTGTTAGCTCCATTTTATAGATGAGAAAACCGAGGCCCTAGTAGTCATAATTGTTGTTGTTGTTAAGTGCTGTCGAGTCGGTTCCAACCCATAGCGACCCTGTACAGGGTTTCCGAGGCTGTAAATCTTTACTGGAGCAGAATGCCTTGTCTTTCTCCCGCGGAGCAGCTGGTAGTTTTGAACTGCTGGCCTTAAGGTTCGCAGCCCAATTCGTAATCACTACGCTACCAGAGCTCCTCAGTAGTCATAATTAAGGTCCCACAATTATCTCACAAGTACCAGGTGGCATCCTAATTCTTGGTACCTCACTCTATGTTGTTGTTGTGGTTAGGTGCTATCAAGTCAGTACCGACCCATAGCAGAACGAAACATTGCCCGATCCTGGGCCAACCTCACTGTTGTTGCCACACTTGAGTCCATTGATACTGCCACTTGGCCAATCCATCTCGTTGGAGGTCTTCCTCTTTTTATCTGACCCTCCACTTTACCAAACATGATCTCCTTCTCCAGCGACTGGTCCCTCCTATGTTGCTGTTTTTAAGTGCCGTCAAGTTGGTTCCAACCCATAGCAACCCTGAACAGGGTTTCTGAGGCTGTAAATCTTTAAAGGAGCAGAAAGCCTCATCTTTCTCCTGCAGAGCAGCTGGTAGTTTCGAACTGCTGACCCTGTGGTTCGCAGCCCGATTCGTAACCACTACGCTATATAACACTCTAATATGGCTATTGTATGACTGTAAACTGAGACAGAGCAGCCATCAGCCTTCAGGCAAGATATTCTGAGTAGTTACAGTAAACACACCTTAAGACAAGGCCCTGAAGCCTCTTTGGAGGCTTTTAGAAAACTTTTGAACTGAAGTCCCTTTGGGGACAGATTTTTCAGGCCCCGTGGCACCAGTAATGAAAAAATTGGGACAGTGGCAAGGGACAAAAGTGGTGGCCAGGAGTCTGATTTCCATACACCAGGAGCCTCTGGGTTTCATTAAGTGTGTGCATGACTTAGTGAGACTAGAAAGAACATCTGTGAAGTACTGCTACTACTGATTTTAGGGGGACACGATTTGGGCTCTTTGAGAGGAAAGGGCAGGTTTATAAAAGGCGTGGTGATCTGCTTTCCATAATTAGCCAGTGAAAACCGTATGGATCACAAAAGAATACTGTTGAGTAGAGTGCTGAAAGATGAGTCCCCTGTAATGGAAGGCACTCAAATGGCACAGTGGCTGTAATAATGAACTTGAGCATAGCAACACTTGGAAAGATGACACTGGTCTGGACACCATCTTATTCCCTTGTACATGGTCATCATAAACTCGTGCTACGTGATGGCACTAACAGCTGAGGTACACAAGCATGGAGGTCTTGAGGATCTGTGAGATTGTTGGGTGCAGGAGTTTATATCAAAGAATGATCTACATGTTCTCATCCCCATAAAGGGATGTAAATGTTCCCCAGTGGGCAGTGGCTTTGAGGAGGATTTTAAAGACGCTGGTCCAATCTGGAGTGATATCACCTGGGTTTCTTGAGACCTTGGCCCTT